TGATAGACACGCGGCCTTTGACACGAGTCAGGGCTTCCTAAATTTCCCAAAACAAAATATTTAGGTGGCGACTCTATAATTTGGCAAAGTAGTCCAGTTTTAGTATTATTTGATTCAAAATCTAATTTTCCAAAATGATTTGTCGGATTGGACTCTTTGGTGTTTATCAGTCTCACATTGCACTTTGTGAGATTAGATTCAGAATCGTGACAGGAGTCCAAACTGCAGTTAGACCAATTCGCGCCTCTCTGAAAGGGGGGCGCGCGAAGAAAGTTGAGTCTACACCTACCAGGAAGTTGAGGCACTACTTGTTAGCTCACTCCGTACTACTGGTTTCGAGATTGGATCCCATGAAATATCTGTACGAGAAATCAGCGCTTACAGGTAGGCTAGCCCGTTGGTTGCTTCTTTTTTTTGAATTTGATTTGAAGTACATGGCTTGCAAGTTTATGAAGGATAGAGCGGTACCAGAGTTCCTAGTCGATCGCCCAGTGGATGGAGACGAAGCAGCAGAGTATCTATTCCCAGATGAGGCCATTCTGCAAGTCGAAGAAGAGATTTGGACTATGTACTTTGACGGAGCGTCTAATCAGTACGGGTATGTGATAGGGGTGTTGTTGATAGCACCCGACAATTCCCACATACCTTTAGCTTTCAAACTTCGGTTCAAGGTATCGAACAATGTAGTAGAATACGTGGCATGTATCGCTGGCTTGGAAGCCGCCCTAGAACTAGGGGCAAAACGGTTGGACGTCATTGGGGACTTGAACCTAGTTGTGTCTCAAGCGAAAGGAGATTGGAAGGTTAAGGAAGAAAGGATGAAAATCTATCAGCGAACTCTAGATGTTTTGATTTCTAGGTTTGAGAAGCTAACCATCAGGCATTTGTTAAGAGAGAGCAACAGGTTTGCTGACGCTTTATCAACTCTATCTTCCATGATAGACATCCCTTTGGGAGTTTGGATGTGTCCAATCATCATTGAACAGAGGTATGTGCCGACCTACGAGCTGATTACCGCAATAGATGAAGTACAAGATCAGAACCCATGGTATCATGACATCTGGAACTTCTTGGAAAAGGAAGCTTATCCACTAGGGGCAAATGCCAAAGATAAAAGGGCAATACGACGAATGGCTGCTCAGTTTATCATCTGTGGGGGTAAATTATACAAACGGGGCCATTTGGGAATGCATAAACTGTGTGTTGATGCTGAAGAGTCAAAGCGCCTAATGAAGGCCATCCATGGAGGAGAGTGCGGATCGCACATGAGCAGAGTAATGCTAGCTCGGAAGATTCTCAAACAGGGTTACTACTGGTCGACCATGGAGAAGGATTGCGTCGGTTTTGTTCGGCGATGCCACAAGTGTCAGATCCACGCAAATCGCATGAGCATCCCGCCGTTGAAGCTGTATAACATGACTTCGCCGTGGCTATTTTCAGTCTTGGGAATTTATGTTGTTGGGGCAGTTACTCCAAAGGGGTCAAATGGGCATGAGTACATCCTGGTGGTGATAGACTACTTTATAAAGTGGGTCAAGGCCCAATTCTATGCAGTGCTGAAAGCGTCACACGTAGCTAAGTTCATCAGGAATAACATTATCTGTCGCTAAGAGGTCCCGAATGAGATCATCTCAGACAATTGTTCCCACTTCAAGAAAGAAGTGGTCGACTTGTTGGAGAAATACGACGTGGCTTTTCATAAGTCATCCCCATATCCACTGCAAACCAATGGAGCTGTTGAGGCCGCCAATAAGAACGTCAAGCACATTCTACAGAAGATGGTGGAAACTTACAAGGACTGGCTAGATAAGCTGCCATTTGCTCTTTGGGGCTATAGAACATCAATTCAGACTTCTATTGGGGCAACTCCGTATTCTCTGGTTTACAGGATGGAGGCTGTTTTGCCGATCGAAGTTGAGGTCCCGTCGCTGCGAGTAATGGCTGAGTGCCAGATAGCAGAACTAGATTGGCAGCAAAGCAGGTTCGAAGAACTTATGCTGTTCGACGAGAGGAGGCTGAAAGCACTATATCATATCCAAGGTTATCAACGAAGAATTGCTAGGGCTTTCAACAAGAAGATTAAGTCTAGGAATTTGAAAGAAGGGGATTTGGTGCTCAAAGATAACCAAGCTCCTATCCACAACCCTAAGGGCAAGTTCAGACCTAATTGGACTGGTCCTTACATCATCAAATCTATTTGGTCGGGTAGAGCTGTCATTCTTATGGACCTGAATGGCCTCGAATTCTCCCAGCCAGTCAACATGGACAAGTTGAAGAAATACTATCCCTGAGTGGCTCGCTAGGCTGAAAACCTGAAAGAGCGACCTAGGCAAAAGTTAGAGCACAAAAATTAGAAATAAGAAAAACTGAGCTCGCAAGGTTGAAAACCCAAAAAGGGTGGCCTTAGCAAAAGTTAGAGCGCAAAATGAGTGTTAATACTTGAGTGAACTCGAACCGAACTAGTAAAGGCTTGATTCCCATCTTCGGGATACGTAGGCAAATTCATTCTGAAGTCCAGCCATAAACACCTCCAAATCAACCGTGTCCATGTGATTGTTCTGGTCATCTTTGTCTTTTCTGCATCCAAGAGTTCGGTTGTGGTCTTTGTTATCTGAGCTGGTTACAATGCAGTGCAGTGCTATTCAGACAAGAGGCAACTTTCCAGTTATTGGATTTGGGGTTATACATCTCAAGGATAGATTCCAGGTGTGTCCAGTTGTGATCCTTATCGAAAATGGTTTTGAAAAGTTTTCATAAAAGTTGATTTTGTTCAAATTAACCCTTTTACAACTTAGACCATTTTTGGACCAAAAGGAAAATTTTCAGTACCCACAACCTTCAATTTCATTAATTTCATTATAGAGTTTTCCGACTCTTGATACAAATTGAAGTTGCTTTTTATTACATTCAAAACAAAACTTGAAAGTGCAGATTAAAGCAATAAACTTGGGGCATAGTTGAGTCAGGTATTCCTGGGTCCCCTCCCAGAGCTTGTGGAAGCTTCGGATGCCAAAGTAGGCCCAGTTTGTGCCTCATCTTCAAGCCAAGCTATGCATTCGCCAGAAAGGGCATAACTGAAATTGGGAGCGGGGGTCAGAAGTTCTCTTGTCCTCCATGTAGTGGAATTCTGAGCTAGCTGTGAGCCTCGGATCAAAAATGAAGCTGGGTACTCTATCTCCTCTTCCGGGCAAGTCTGGTCGTGGCCGAACTGACGCCTGAATCAGAATGGAAAGTAGAAGACACAGTGTGTCAAACCAACCAACTGAATGCCAGGCTGTCGGGACATGCTGTAACTCATCTCAGGCAAGTCAAACCAGGGGCAACGCCAAGCAATGTCAACAGCAGATTTGTTGCACATCCAATGGCACCACCATCTCTCGTTCGGGAAATCAAATAGCCGTGGGTGAAAGAAATAGCCGCGCGCTAAATACGCAGGGCAAGCGTCCACTGCTTTCAACTTCTCCATCAACCATACCTGGGGAGGGATGAAAAATAAGAGAGATTAAAAGAATAGAGAGGTGTACGTAGAGAGAAAAGTGAGAAAGGGTTTTTAGAGAAAAACAGAGCCTAAGGGCCGAGTGATGTGAGAAACACATGTGAGAAGGGTGGGAAACATTACCTGCAAGAGTAGTGGACTCCCTGCAAACTTGGCTGTTTCTCGGCAATGGAAAGCATCCAAACCCATCAAAGTCTTGGCTAGTGTTAAGCCAATACAGCTCTTGCCCTCTTTCAAGCCTTGGGCAACTTCGATCAAGCGAATGTTGGACCCTCCAAAACCAGGGGCAAGCAGAAAATGGGCCAACATACACAAGCAGAGGGCATGCTGCCAAAAACCTTGCCAAAGACGGTCACCGCAGTCGCCGGCGTCAGAAAACCGATGAATCAAGCTTGGGATGTCCAACTCCCCGTTGTGAAAAGATCGGACATCATACAAAGTGAGCCCACACATCCTTCCTAAGGCTTGAATGTGGCCAAAACAAGATTGGGCAAGATCTCCTCATCACGACGAGATTCCATCAAAGCTTGGAATCCTTCGATTGTGGGGCATATCTCTTGTCCCCCGAAGCTAAAAACATGTGTAACTGGATTCCAACATCTGGCTGCGGCATGGAGGAACGAAAAACACAGTGGAGTACGACTGAGCAGGAATAGTGCGTTTATCCCAAAACCCTAGAAATTCAGCTTTTCCGAGCCATCTAAAGTTATAATCCAATCGGAGAGTTTTTCGGCAAATAATGGTTTCATTTGGGGCAAAAATAGAGCTGAAATGAAGAAACCATGAAGCTGGAGCTTTTGTAGAAGATAACGCAGTGAGTGAAGGCCAGGTGTCAACGTTTCGGAGGTACTGCTCATCGATGGCCGGCAGTGGCTCATTGATGGCCGGCATGGGCTCATTGATGGTCGGCAGGGGCACATTGATGCCCAGCAGAGAGAAATGATGGCCAGCAGGCCATCCTTCATGATCGGCAGCCTCCTTTCAGGCTTAATGACCTCCTTTGTGAAGATTCAGTTGTTTCCTACAGTGGAATTCCGTTATGTGTACCTGTTGAGGTCTTGTTTTGGTCCTTTTGGGCTTGAGCATGTTTATTTAAGTTGTAATCGCTTGGTTTTGTTTATTGAGTTGTATTTATGTTGTTTATTGAGTTGTTGCTTGCTTATCGAGTTGTATTTACATTTGATTACCCTGTCAAAGCCTTTTATCGAATTGTTTTGTTCTTTCAATTGTTAGTTGGTTCACTACCTGACTAAGGCAATGCAATTTGAATGTGCAGTTTTCAAAAAAAATAAATCTCATTTTCATGCTGTGCGATGTTATGCGATGCTCAAAATACAAAATGCAACACCTTTTTAATCAAAAGCTGAGTTTTCATTCCAATCATGGTCACTTTTTGCACAAGAGTACAAGTTTTAAGAAAATAAAACTGCCTAAGGCTATGCAATGTGCTAACACTAATAGCAAAAAAAAAAACAAAGCAAAAAGCATCTAAATCAGTGCCAACTATCTCAAGCTCGAGAGGCCCTCTTCATCCTCTTCCTCGGCGGAGCAAACTCTGGAGCACTATCACCATCGGCACCGCTATCTGAATCTGGATCAAAGTCTGAACCGAAGTCCTCCTCAGCCTCTCTAGCCGCACTATTGGCAGAATCTAAGCTGGCGTCGCCATCCATATCCTCAGATGACTCTGACTGTGGGCTCGCAACCTCCTCACCCTTGCTCATCTTATCATCATCATCGCCCAGAATGGGCTCTGAAGGGCCACTCTCGCTGCGGGTGCCCCTAGCTCTACCTCGGCTGCGTGTTAGAGCCTATCTCCCTCTCCTCTCTACTGCTGGAGGAGGCACTGAAGGTCCTGCTGCGGCTCCTGTTGGGGCATCTGGCGAAGCTGGGGTCTGAAAAGGGATCTGAAAAAGGTAGTTTGTCAGAATACATTAGTTGTGGTGTATATCAAGTGTAGTATATCGGATGCAGTGTATATATGCAGTGTATGGGAGTAGTGTATCTATGCAGTGTTTTCATGCAATGAATCAGATCAGTGTATTGTGGAATAGTTAAAATGTTAATGCATTAGTAGAGAATTTCATGGCATGAAGTGCAAACTGAAGGAAATTACCGGAATCTTGTAGAGGCTGAATGTCTGAACCATCCCCATCAGAGAAGCTGCTAGCTCGAGAGCCTACCCGGTGTACACTATGGATGCCTGTAAATGTGTTGAGATGATCAGTGGTCTATAAAGCATAAGTGAAATGAATTGAATGTGCAAAATGTAAAGTATGGAACATACCGGGGTCAGGCCTCGAACTCCGACAAGCTCGTGACCGGTTAGTGCGGGCTCAATGGGAATCTGATAGGTCTCTCCAGAACGTCCCCAGCAAGTCAATGTAGTAGGCAGCTCTGGCCATCTCACTCTCTGTCTCTCCCCGGAATCTCTTCTGCCACGGGACCTGGTGGCTCTGGCCCCTCTGCCTCTCTCTCTCGCAGCTGGAGCTCTCACTCCCTCACCACCGCGAACGCCGGTCAGTGGCGGCATCAGATATGTTTGGATGAAAGTCGCATAGTAGCCCTCTACACAGAAGTAATTCGCCTCCAGCCCTACCATAAACTGGATCACCTCCTCAACAGAAAGTCTATGTGTCTCTCTCATGGATACTGGAGGCGCCATCGGTATGAATGGGGCAGGCAGTCCTAAAGTCTGATGTGTGAAACACTCGCCCAAGAACTAGGCGCGGTAGATCGGGCCCTCGAGAAGGACATGGTGGCGAGTGATGACCATAGCTGTGTCATACTGGGCTCGAAGCCCCAATGGTATCGCGTCCCACGGCTGCCATGTGATCTGAGAATAAGAAAATGAACAGATGATTAGTCATTGTCAATAGATTAATGGGTGTATCAAGTTGATTGAAAAGCAGAACAGCTTTGTTTTGAGTTACCTCGTGTGCCATAACCACGTCAAAGTACTCGTGGAAAAACATGAAGTTCTCCCGGGTCTTACGGCAGAGCTGGCCGTGGTATACTTGAGAAAATGAGACTACCGCCGAAGTCTCCTCTATAGGCTCTGGAGCAAGAGCCGGGAAGTATGCGTACATCCACAGCTGCAAGGAAAATGTGATCAATACAGTGTATGGGCAGATACAGAAAATGCAAAGCAGAAAGTACATGTGTTGAACCAATGTAAAGTAAGGAATGCTGAGCAGAGAATGTAAAGTGAAAAGGGGGAACTAAGTCGTGTACCTCCCAAGCCCACCAGTAGCCGCCGATTAAGCTCCCACTCATGCGAGAAGTTGAGCTCATTTATTCGTACAAGGTGGTGAGGCCGGCTCTGCCCCAGTCGTAGAACTGAACTCGATGGAGTACTACCAATGCGCTCAGCAAGTATAGGCCCACGGTATTCCACATGTTCGAAAACGAGGTGGTACCGAAAAGGAACATGAGAAAGCCCCTCGCGTACTGCTCTGCCTCCTCGAATGTCTCGGGCTCAGACCCCCTATACTGCTTCTCGAACCAACTATACTAGACCATGCCCGCTCGAAATGTCGATGGGTGTGCCCCAAGCAGTGCAACCCATACTGCCTCCTACTCTTCCATATCAGGCTCGAGAGGGATCGGATCACCCCTTACGCCTAAGCCAGTGATCATGGCGAAGTTGTAAGGAGTCATTGTCATCTCCCCCGTGGTGGAGAAATTAAAGGAGTTGGTGGTGTCTCTCCACCTCTCCACTAAAGCCCCTAAGAGAGGGCGGCTCGCTACAACCTGCATCAGGCTAGAGCAGAAGAGACCGAAGCCTGTCTCGTCAATAATGTCGCGGACTCTAACCGGGAGCTCGCTGTACTAGTCTCGAGCGGTCGTCGTACCGTAGCCTCTGAAAAAGCGAGACCCGTCCTGTGGTAATGCATGAGATGTAATCAGATCGAGCAATGAAAGTACAATTGAATACAAAGCAGTGATGATAGTACAGTCAGATCAATGCAGTCTATGCAATCAGATCAAAACAGTGCAAGAAATGCAAATAGCTAAGGGTAATACTGCAAAAAACAGTGTTCGTACCTCTATGACGATAGCTGACAAATGAGATGTTGGCTTCCTCAGTAAAAGGTCATCTAGTGCATCATCAGCGAAGTCAGTGAAGGCCTTGATGCCTCTTCAGTGGGCACTATATGAGTCTCGGGGTGGTACCTCGCTGGATCAAAAGGGCGTATGCTCGGCGGTAATGGCTCCAGCTCGGCCTCAAAGTCTGCCTCAAACTCTACCGGAGGAAGCGCGGGGATAGCCTTGTCATGTGGGATATCATCTACCATCTGAAATATATGCAAGAGAAGCAAAAATGAGGAAAAAATGAAAAAAAAATAGTGAAACTTTGAAAAAGTCAACCCTCAAAGAGAAAAAAGTTAAAGAAAGTCAAAACCCGAAAAAGTGTACTAACCTTGGAAGAAACTCGAGGGGAATGAGCCTAGAACGGTGGAAATGACGAAAGAAGCGTCAAAATCAAATTCTGATTGGTTCAAAGTGAAGAGAACTAGAGGCTTTTAGTGAAGAAAATGTTTTTAGGGTGTTGGAAAATGCGTGGAACCTGTGGATCTAGAGAGAAGGAGTACCTAGAGAGTAAAGGAGAAGACTTTTGTGCAAGGGTTTGTGAGGAAATGAAGTGCCCTCACTTGTTTTTAAAGACCCAAGGGTGAAAGGACAAATTTGCCCCAATTTGCCGTCGATGGTCGGCACTTGTATATTGGTGGCCGGCAGCGCTTACCAATGGCCGGCAGGGGGCCGGCGGCCTCCCCTGATGGCCGGCAGGCTTCCACAAGCTTCCTATGACTCTATTTATTTGATTGGTGTCCTTGGATTTTGATAAGTACAAGGTATGCTCAGTGTTTGACTCAGAATGTCTTCACGGAAGCTCAGAATCACATTTCCAATGCACGATGGTCATCGCTCATCAACACGAACAGGGTGTATCCTTTTTAACATGTTGGAACTCTTCTGAGAAGTACATCGGAGGTTGCCTTTGAGTCGTCTTTAGCAAACATGCTTTTGTCGTTGCATAAAATGTGCATTGCTTTTATCGTTGCATAGAGCATGCATTTTGAATTGTTGCATAGAACATGCATTATCATGTTTGCACAGAGTATGCATGTTGCATTGAATATGTATCATTGATTATTGTGCATAGAATATGCCTCTGTTTTGTTTCTCGCATGTTGTGCACAGAAGCATGCCTCTAACACTTGGATTACGGTTATTCATCTTGCATGGAATATGCATTTGTATTGCATTGTACCTGTTAAGTTTCTTCCTTGTGCAGGCATGATATTGTATCTACGGTTCATTCAAAGCTGGTGCAACCGAATGATATTGTATGTGCGGTCCATCCAGAAGAACCCAGGTAAGATCATTCTTGTCCTTTGACCATCCTTGCTTCGATTAGAAACATTCGGATACGCCTGGTGTTTATACCTCCTCGTTGGTTAAAAACATTCGGGTACGCCCGATGTTTATAACTCGTCGGTTAGAAACATTCCGATACGCCCGGTGTTTATACTTCCTTGCTTTGGTTAGAAACATTCGGGTACACCCGGTGTTTATACCTCTCTTGTTGGTTAGAAGTGTTTGGACCGTGTGCCCGACACTTATACCACCCATTTGGTTAGAAATGTTTAGACTGTGTGCCCGATGCTTATACCACCCCGTTGGTTAGAAGCATTGGGTTGTGTGCCCGATGTTTATACCACCCCTTTGGTTAGAAGCGTTTGGGACGTGTGCCCGACGCTTATACCTTGTTTTGGTTAGAAGTATTGGGTTGTGTGCCTGATGCTTATACCCTCCCCCCGGTTAGAAGCGTTTGGGATGTGTGTCCGACGCTTATATCACCCCATTAGTTAGAAACACTTGGGACGAGTGCCCGATGTTTATATCGCTCCCCTGGTTAGAAGCGTTTGGGATGTGTGTCTGACGCTTATACCACCTTGTTTTGGTTAGAAACATTGGGACGTGCCCCAATGTTTATACCACTCTTCGGTGTTTACACCGTTCTCTTTTCCCTCTCACGCGTGGTGCGTTAGGACGCTTTGGTTAAATGCATCTGGATGGATTTTGATGCCTATACTTCTCTTTGTTTCGGTTGCATAATGGTTGGATGTGTTTCACTTGTTATCACTACTTCTTTCCTCGCGTGTGCCACGTGTTGGGATCTTGTTTGCTGCCTCGGGTGCGCCCGATGATTGTTATTCTTTACCTTTTCTGCGTGAGGCGCAGTTAAGATTGCGTAGTTTTCTTACATCCTTTCTGCATGAAATGTAGTTTGGTTTGTGTTAACTTGCTTATGTACGAGTTTGCTGTAGCATTTCTTTGCATAACATTTGCATCCAGATGTTTCATTACAACCCTCGTTGCATGATCATAAGTTATGTTCGGCATCGTGCATATCATTTGCATTTTGCCCCAACCTGCGGGCGCATTTATATTATTATCTTGAATGTCTGTCTAAGTCTTGCGGCCTTGTTAAAAATGGGTAGTCTCCGGGTTTTGACATTTACTCCCGTCATTTCATGACTTCCGAGTTCTGTCAAAGAGGGGCAACTGTAAACAACCCACTTTTGACCGTCCTCAAGACTTGGATGTTTTCGTAGGTACATTCAATGATGAGTCTGATTGCTCGTCAAGCGCTCGAACTCCGTGGCAGAGCGCCCCAGGTTTGATCTTTCTAAACCCTGCATCAGTTCAATCTCATTTTTGGACCATGTTTTGGTCCTTTTAGAATGTTGCTTTTGGAGCACTGCCGGCCACTTTTGGGCACTGTCGACCATGGACTTTGGCCTGCTAGCCATTGATGTGCCCTGCCGGCCATCACTGATGGCCGGCCGGCCACCAGTACATCAGTAGATATTTTTAGATATTTTTTTGACAACTATTTGCACAGATTGGAGCATCTGCTTGCACGTGGATGGTTGGATCTTTTCAAGAGGATTTTATGTCTTTTATATATAGGGGTCTTCCTCTTGCATGCAAAGGGTTACAAAAATTTTGTGAGCAAAATTTCTCTTTCTCACTCTCTCTAGAATTCTCTCTCTCTCTCTCTCTCTCTCTCTCTCTCTCTATATTGCGCTATATTGTGCTTGAAAATATATATATATTTTGTGCTTGAAAGTAGAAATTCTCTACACATTTGCAAAGACACCCTTAGCCAAACACCTTCACCTTGGAACTGAGGTTCTTGGAGGCCTTGTTTGAGCTCTTGAGGTTGGTTTTAGCTCAGAGTTGTAGCTGTTTTGTTGCTATGCTTCAAAGGTATAAGCTTACCTTTTTTAAGCTTTGTTTTAATTAATTACTTGGCCATCTTTTTACACCACTTTGACCTGGTTTTTCAACCATAAAAAAACTTGGTTTTTAAGGTTTTAAAATGGTGGTTTGAGTCTTGTTGAGTTAGGGGGTGGTTTCCTTTTTTTGCTCTTTGGCTTATGAAGCCTCTTGTGCCGCTTTTCAAGCTTTTAAAACAACATTGTTTTGGCCTTTTAACTACTAAAACTCAGAAGTTTTTCAGTGGTAAAAACTTGGGTTTGAGGTCCAAAATATGAGGGGGTGGCCTCCCCTCCTTGTCTCTTGTTTGCATGTATAGATGGCTTAACATGTGAGCATGTTTTTCTATCTTTTTGAGACTTGATCTCAACAGGTTTTTGCAACTGATTTAGCATGTTTTAGTTCTGTTTTGGGTTGCTTTGGTCATATGAGCTTCATCTTGCATGGTTGTAGTGAAAAAGCCTTTACTAGCTCATTGTTTTAAGGCCTCTAACATGCTTTGCTTGAGTTGATTGCATGCCATAGCATCATTTAACATGTAATTTCAGTACGTATATCTCTGTCACACTCTCACATATTCCACTCTTTCATTGCTTTTGAGAGTTGTGCTTTGTGTCTTGTTTGTAAGCCAACACATGAGCATGATTTTCTTGCTTTTCATGCTTCCATCTCATCATGTTTTAGCCAGTGTTTTGGCATATTAAAGCTTTGTCCAGAGCTAGTTTGGTCATTTGAGCTTGATATTGCATGCCTCTATTGTAGTGATCTTCACTAGTTTATTGCTTTTGACCGTTAAGCATG